GACACTATTTTTAACCAAATTTTATTTAATAAATATGTAGTATACAATTTCTGATATTCTAAATATTTTATAACGCCTAAAAATGTATGTACCGTGGAATTTTCGTGAATTATCACGTAAATTTTCGATGCATACCCGACACGCCACTGCGTCATGGGTAATGTATCTAGGTTTATGAATGACATATCTATGTTCAAGGTTAAAATCACAAATTGTCCGCTCTCTGGTCATTAGTCAAAATATGTTTGTTGTGAATTACCGGACCGGACACTAATAATGCGGTATTGACTAATAATTTCATGCTTTTTCTGTAATACATGTTTCACAAAAGTAAACTTTACATACATCGTTGAATTCAGAATAGAAATCTGCGCAATAATAAATTTAAAAAACCTATATTGCCATTTGAATAAAAAAAGTTATAGGCTCACTCTATAGTGTATTTAGAGCCATTTCAAATAATTTTTTTGTTTTTAAAAATGAGACTATAAATGACGGAGTTATGGCTTGTGGCGTTTTTTAGGACTCAACCTATATATGATGCAATTAAAATATTTGAGATTAGTCAACAATAAGTATTGGCAAAATTCATTTCTGGTCAAACCCAAGATTGTAATATAATCTGTTTTATTTTTTGCAAAAAATAGGGTATATTTTTTTAAAAAGTAGTCCTATGGCTATAGCTTTTTAAATTGTTCTTCTGATTGTATGTATATTCTGATTTTGCAGAAATTTTTACATTTGTACAAATTTTATCTCATTCAAATTTTTTATAAAGTAAAATGCAATGAAAAGAGATTTATGTGTCGCCCTGTATAGAATTGCATATACATACCTACAATGTATTTAAATCGTCAAAACTCTATTATGATTATTTTTCAATTAACTGCCCTTGAATTGAACCAGAAGTCTTTCCTAAAATCAAGAAATCTATCACCAAAGCAATCAATGTCCTGGAATTCGACTATAAATTAAATGATCATAAATTAATGTTTGTTATTAAATATGTTAAAAAGGCTTGGCTTCCAAAAATATAGGTTTTGTCACAAGAAACTTACGAAGTTTAAAGTGCAAAGAAGAATATGTTAGCGTTAATTTGGTATACAGGATGTATCAGCTACAGTGAATAAATTGAAAATGGTAGCGGGTATAGTTACCCACCCATAGAGATACTCAAAATTATCTCAGAAGGTTTGGATTACTTTTTAGTAGATGGCAATAAAAACAACATTATTTTTATGTAATATAATTAACAATAAACTCGATTTTCCTGAAATTAGGTCACGTGAATATCCAAGTACCTACCTGGAATTGAGGCAAAGTTTAACATTATATATCATCTTCCGTTCCCACATACTAACTTATTAAAATTATCACCCAGTTTTTTTTATGTGTACTAATTACAATAACCTGCAGAAATGATTTTCATATATTTTTTTTGTACTGAAAATACAGGGTGTGCCATTTAACACTCCCGCTGCCAATATCTCCGAAATGAAGAAATTTATTTTAGTTCTGGAAATTGGGGTTGTTAGACCCCTCGAATAGCTTCAAATTGTAGTTAGAACTGTTAGTTCAAATCTTACTGTATAGATGACGTGGCAATACTAAAAATTTTTTTGATCCCTAGAACGTGGAAATGCAGTCCATCAGAAAGATCGTTAAATTTTGATTAAGTTTTGTAATATAAAGATTTTCCTTATATCTACTTGTTTCCGGGATACGTCGACTTCAATATGCAATGTATGATATAATAGGAAAATCTATTATTTTATCTAAATCACACCGAGACAAAATATTCTTTTACAATATTGTTATAATGACTTTATTCACACCACATACTAACTAACAAACAATAACTTATAAAAAATCAAATGATCAACTACATAAAAAATAATTGTACAATGGTAAATCGTATAACTAGTATAGATTGAAAGATGCAAACTGATAAAACTGTAATTATTGAACAACTAATATGTATCATCTGTCATTGTTTTATTTTAAACAAATGATATGAGCTTATGACTGCATTTTTTAATAACATTTGATAAAATACGGTTCGTCTCTATTCCTTATAAGATTTACCATTGTACAATTTTTTTTTCTGTAGCTGATCATTCATTTTTTTTAATAATTTATTGTTTGCTAGTTAGTATGTGATGTGAATAAAGCCATTAATATTTTAAAAGAATATTTTGTCTTAGTGTGAATTAAATAAATTAGGTAATAGATTTTCCTGTTATATCATACATTGCATATTGAAGTTGACATATCTCGAAAACATGTAAATATAGGGAAAAACTTTATATTACAAAAATTACACAAAATTTAACGATATTTCAGATGGACTGTATTTCCACGTTCCAGGGAACAAAAAATTTTTAGTATCGCCACGCCATCTATACAGAAAGATTTTGAACTAACATTTCTAACTACAATTTGAAGCTATTCGAGGGACCTAACAAGCCCAATTTCCGGAACTAAAATAAATTTCTTCATTTCGGAGATATTGGTAGCGGGANGTATTTTAACTAATCATTTATGCCATGGAAAACAAAAAATAATACAGCAATGCAAATAAAACTCGTAAGAGAATTTTGTAGTTAACATAAAAAAAAACAATGCAATGAATATTAACTAAAAGAAAAACAATTTAATTAAATACATTAGCCATTATACAAAATTCAACACATTAATTAAACACAAAACACAGTAAAAGAAGAACAACAAACACAAAACAACTAAAGAAACAAATTGTAGCCGTCATTCTCTATTGTTTTCCTCTAATGCCTGTACTTTTTGAGGAATGTATGGCTTGAATTTGTGCTTTTTCTATAGTGCATGTACCTACAGTTTTCTTTGATGTTATATCTAATATTATTAAAATTTTCCCGAATGGGATTTTTTTCAACATTAAGAAGAACATCGAGTCGATGATTTCATTAAATTGGCGTTCTTTTCGCTCTGGTTTCTTAAGAATACCATTGTTTCTTAAATTTTCCTGTTATATCATACATTGCATATTGAAGTCGACGTATCTCGAAAACAAGTAGATATAAGGAAAAACTTTATATTACAAAAATTACTCCAAATTTAACGATCTTTCAGATGGACTGTATTTCCACGTTCCAGGGAACAACAAAATTTTTAGTATCGCCACGCCATCTATACAGAAAGATTTTGAACTGACCATTCTAACTACAATTTGAAGCTATTCGAGGGACCTAACAAGCCCAATTTCCGGAACTAAAATAAATTTCTTCATTTCGGAGATATTGGTAGCGGGAGTGTTAAATGGCACACCCTGTATATTAGAAAAATATTTTTTCAGTTCTGTACAATTTACTTTAATGTTCTATTACAATAGTTCCCAAAGTGTTTCAAGATGGAAAAAAGAGTTTGATTAGTTTAGTCAGATTTAACGAAAATTTGGTAGTTGACACTTTGGTTGTTGGTTGACATATCCAATAAATACATAAAAAATTGAGGGAAAGGAATGTGACCATTTAAGATAGATATAGTAAAAAACAAATATTAATTTTCAATGACTAGTACCTACCTTATAAACGAGAAAGATCAGTACATATGAAGTGATTTTCTTAAAACAGTGTGAAGAATCATCCCCTTCAATATTTTAGATTACTTACTAAACTCCCAATATATTCTGTTGGAAATGGTTTTTCCAAATAATCTAAACTGATTTAGTGAACATTATTTTTTTTGCTATAGGATAAAGGACCCCGCACAAACCTTATGGGAAATGTCTTTATGGGCCCGAAGCCCAAAACTCCACAGGTTCTGACCCATATAACCCCTAGAAATCTACCAAACCACAAGCAGGCTGGCCCACGTAACCCTGGGAATAGCGAGATTAGTCACTTATTTTTCTTGAAATAATTAAATTCTGCACCATATGCCTGCTAACCCGCCTACCCCCTAACCCACCGAGTCCCTAGAAACCACCCCTGCCATACCACAATCGGGCTAACCCACATAACCCTGGGAACAGTGAGTTTAGTTTAGTCACTTATTTTGCACAAACCACTACTTGTGGTTTGGTAAGGGTGGTTTCTAAGGGCTCCTGGGTTAGGGGGTAGGTGGGTTAGCCCGCTTGTGGTATGGAATTTAATTATTTCAAGAAAAATAAGCAATTAAACTCGCTGTTCCCAGGGTCAGATGGGTTAGTCTGCTTGTGGTTTGATAGGGGTGGTTTCTAGGGGTAGATGGGTTACGGGGTAGATGGGTTACGGGGTAGGTGGGTTAGCATGCTTTTGGTGTGGAATTTAAATATTTCAAGAAGAATAAACGACTAAACTCGCTGTTCCCAGGATCAGGTGGGTTAGCCTGCTTGTGGTTTGGTAGGGGTGGCTTCTAGGGTCTAGATGGGTTAGGGGGTAGCCAGTTAGCATGCGTGTGGTGTGGAATTTAATTATTTCAAGAAAAATAAGCAATTAAACGCGCTGTTCTCACAGTTAGGTGGGTTAGCCCGCTTGTGGTTTGGTAGGGTTGGTTTCTAGGGGTTAGGTGGGATAGGGGTTAGACGGGTTAGCATGCTTGTGGTGTGGAATTTAATTATTTCAAGAAAAATAAGCAATTAACCACGCTGTTCTTAGAGTTAGGTGGGTTAGCCTGCTTGTGGTTTGTTAGGGGTGGTTTCTAGGGGTTAGGTGGCATAGGGATTAGGCGGGTTAGCATGCTTGTGCTGTGGAATTTAATTATTTCAAGAAAAATAAGGGACTAAACTTGCTGTTCCCAGAGTTACTTGGGTTAGCCTGCTTGTGGTTTGGTACTGGTTAGGTGGGTTTATCTCTGAACCCGTGCAGTTTTGAAGACATTTGTTCAGGACACCGACATACATAACATATAAAAAATTCAGCCAATTTAACCGGAGACACTTCCCATAAGGTTTGTGTGGAGTCATTTGGTTAATGAGTAATTAGTAACAACAGTACTATTAATACATATACCTATATATTTTTTAACTTTATTACTCTTTTTAGTTGAAGATGTTCTTCAAGCAGTGGATCAGGTAGCAGCACTCCTAGCATCGAATGTTGTAGACAACAATATTTCCTACAAGGATAGTGTGATAAATTTATGTCAACATCTGAAGGTAAATGAACAACATTTTAAAAACCTCAAAAACACTTAATATTGTCCAAATGTGCTCGTTGATTCGATGAGATTTTAAATTAAGTAAATAAAATAAATTAAATTATTTAAAAGTACTGAAAATTTTAAGTAAATATCTTTGCACGAAATTGGTCGGGAAGTTGTTTTCAGAATCCATGTTTACGCACCCACACTGATATTACGTAATGACAAAAAATGTATGTACATATAATAAAAACTCGCTTTTTGTTGTACTTTTAAGAATATTTTGCTTTACACAAGCAATTAGGAAACGTAAAAATGATATTTGTGCCCAGATGTGTTTACTTAAAAAGCAGCACAGTGTTGAAGGTCAGTGAGTTTATTATATCCTTTTATTGCTGTAGATAAGACATTATCTGTGAATGTTAACATTTTTCAAGAATTTATTAAAAATGTTTTAGATTGTTATTTTATGTAAATATTTTTTATTTGTATATATTTTTAAATGGTTAATTTCTGTTTTTATTTTAGGTATATGGAGCATATCTGGAAATTCTATATAAAGAACAGCTGGATCATGCTTTTAAAATATTTAGAGACAAAGCCCAAGATGATCTACGAGTTGATATGCTTTCTCGACTACATTTGTTAGAATTAATCGAGTTACGAGCAAAAGGTTGGAAAGGTACCGATGGTATGAATTTGTATTACAGAAAAAAATTGAACCAGTGTGGCAACTTACAGGTAAAGTTATCAACTAATTATTATGAATAAATTTTTGTATAGAGTGCGTTTCAAAATATATGATGCCAAACTGAAATGAATATATAAACTTATCGGATGCTTAAAAAAAGGTACAAGTGTAATACAGTAAGGACGATTTCTTTTTAAATAATTTTAGAATATATGTCACAGGACTTTACATAATCAAGAGCAGTGGCGGTTGGTGCGGAGGGCTCTGGGGCCTAGAAATTTTCATAGTAAAAATTTTTAATTTAAAATTTAATTTACAATGTTATCTAGATAATTAAATAAATTAACCTTATGAAACTCATTAAAAAGGAAATGTTAAATTTGTAATGTACAGTGATTTTAACTCGACTCGAAAAATTCATTTGAAAAACGCTGAATATCTGGGCTCCTCGTAACTCCCCCATAAAATTGTAAACTGTTTACAGCGGTGGTCATGGTTACCGTCACCCAGCAGTGAAAGACGGAGTGGGAGTAGCGCATATTTACTATGCAGTTTGGGCTCTGTCTGGTCCGCATATAACCAAATAGTAGCTATTTATTGCTTTTTTTTCTTATTAAACGTAATTTGTTTGTGTGTGGTGTAAAATTTTGTTACCTACGTGTTGTTGTTTGCGTGTTTTTTAAAAGATTGTAAAAGATGAAAATTGAGTGGTGCGAGAAATACCAAACTTTAATGAAAAAGAAAATGAAAAGTTTATTTCGAACAAAAGCAGAATGATGGACATTCATTATAAAAAATAATGTTGAGCACATTTTCCCTCTACATATTTCACAATAGTAGTAGTAGTAATAGTAGTAAATAAAATGATTTTTTCTTCAATACTTTGTTCCTAAACTTGTCTGTCCTCCATGGTATGGAAGTTGAGAGCTGCCACTGATCAAGAACAATAATCTCATGGAAGAATATCTTTTTTTAAACAGAATGTCTACATCTATGGGTTTTATTAAACTTTATATGTGTATTTGGAATGGCTGATCTTTTTAAACAAAAATCTGTTCTAGCAAAATTGTCTTAAAATTATTGGTTTCTGAGTAAATGACGTGAAACCAAAATTTTAGTGGAAATGAAAAATGTTATTATTTTTAATGAATTTGATAAATTTATAATAGTGTTATTTATTTGAAAACAGGAATTTAGAAACAAATAAACATAATACAGAAGAATATAGTAGTAAGAAGAAATTAAAGTTGTTCTGTTCGACATAATAATTGGCATTTCTGTAATAATGACCTTGAGTTTGACAAATGCAGTGGCATATTGGACACAGAAGCATTTTGAATTTGTTGTATTAATTCCTCCTTCGAACAGAATATTCATAAATGTTTACAAGGCACAGAACTGTAGGGCTTAGACAATCAACATTGCAGGGCTGGTACTGTTAACTAAATCTTGGTGTCACCAATATTAATGATTTGTTTCCAATGAACAATGACAAACTGTTACGTTTACCCTTGAAAATTAATTGGCAACAAAATGTAGAATGAATCGTTTGTAGATAATTTTTAAGGGAATATCAAAAAAGGTAAAAAAAATGATCTTGTGTCTCGGTTAGGAAGCAATTTCCAACTATATTTACATGAACATTTTCGTTCAAAATCAAATCTATCTACTGACAAAGTTGGTACTTTTAAAAAGGGAACAACATGTACATTTCAAATAAGATGTAAAAGGGTCCCACCATCAATTTTCTTACTGTTTTCTTATTTTAATAGGTAGGTATACTTAATTTATCAGTAAAATATAAAAGCAATATATATATCTACTTATTATCAAAATTACATTTTCTTTGTCGTTTGAGATATTCTTTTAGAAAAATATATTATTTATTAAAAAGTGCAACAGCAAATACTGGATGGTACTCTGCATCTCCACCTTTACCTGAAAAAAAAAAAATGTTCTTCATAAGGTTATTGCAAAGTCGTGCCAAACTTCATTTGGATTTCATACGTGATTCTATAATAAAAAAGGAAGTGTTTTTGTTTATCACCCTGTACCTTTTTTATTAAGTGTGTCGTATTCATAGGTAACTTTTTATATAAAATGACATTTTATATCTTTCGCTTCGGTTTGGTGCCATATTTTCGAAAAACACCGTGTAAAAAAAAGCAAATTATCTTGTAGAAATTTCAGATATTGTGGAGGCAGCTGGGATATCTTTCCCAAATAATAATAAAAAAATTAATTAATTAATATTCATGTTAATTTTTAAGTAAATCTTTTACAGATTGAAATGTCTGATTCAGTATCCAGTTTGAACGAATCTCTCAGTTCTATGATAATGTCCTCATCACCTCCTCTTCTTGGCCCAGGAGAAATTATTAAACCATCTGGAAAGTTTAGCAAACCAACAAGAATACCTGGTAAAAAATATTGTAAAGATGAAGTGGTTATACGTAATGCTGACTCCGGAAAAGGTATGTGTTTGAAAAAAAAATTGATTTTTTCTCATATTTTGAGTACCTATCTTGGATGGATTATCTTGAATATTTGCTAACCCATAGTCTTTTAGGTGGTAATTAGGAATATGATAACTGTATTGTAATCACTTCTAGGGGGCGCTTGTTATACTTTCCTGTCAGTGTGGAAATATGTCTAACTTTCTTCTCTTCTGTCTGAATTTTCTAAATAAAACAAATACTTGGTAAAAGTTGCTGAACTCAGCTGTTTTAGAATTACACACCATTAAGATTTTAGAGATTTTAAGCCAAAATTAAATTAAATAACATCAAACAAAGTAGTCTGTAATGAAATTTTACGAATTAATACAAAAACAATAAAAGGGAAACGATAGAAAATTTTAATAGACATAATTATGAAATTACCAACTATGAACGGATCTCGAAATGACCACCATTGTGTCCAGCTTTACAAGCTCCAAAAATGGCTTTTTGTAAATTTTTTTGAAGAAAGAAAAACAGTTGAACTTAAACGAATGAATATAAATTTTTAGGTATTTTTGTACATACATCAAAGATGCAAACAAATTTTTTCCATAAAATTATAAAATATGGCACATGATCAGCCGCTTCCTGGAGTGCCTTGCCACCAGAAGATTCTTGGACTGCCTTGCCACTGCAGTCTCTAATTGTCGGAAAAAATCCAGATCGTAATTCTTGTCAGCAATGAAAAATCAAAATGATTTTTTAATCTGCTATATTTTTCTTCTGGGTAAATTAAGAAAAGGCGGAGAAGAAGCGTGGAATTATAATTTTTTTCAGTTTGAAATGAAATGTATTTAAAAAAAAATTAACTAAAATTATTTAAAAATTTTTTTTTACATTCTTTTTAGTTTAGCTGGAAAAAAAAATTAAAAATTTTATATTAAAGAGAATAGGTTTTCGTTTGGTTCAATAGGTTTTGTAGCTTTTTTCAGTTTGAAATGAAATGTATTTAAAAAAAAATTAACTAAAATTATTTAAAAATTTTTTTTAACATTCTTTTTAGTTTAGCTGGAAAAAAAATTAAAAATTTTATATTAAAGAGAATAGGTTTTCGTTTGGTTCAATAGGTTTTGTAGCTTTTTTGCTATTACACCTGCCAATTTTAAAAATGTGTAATAATGGAAACTGGAGATAACACAATTTAATGTTTTCAGTAGAAGAAAATATTATTAATTGGTTACTTATACCAATGATCTGTTAATCAGCTATTTCTGTGCTATATAGTAGCCCTTCTGCTTATTCAAATAACTCGTTCAGCTGCATTTGCTCAAGTTTACAAGCCGTTCGAATCTGCTTGCCGCTGTATATCTGGCGCTGGTTCTCCCTCGTGATTTGTTACATGTCGGTGATATCGGCAAACATCTTTCATTGCTGGCCAATATTCAAGTACATCGTGATTCAAATTGCTGAATAGTCTTCGTTGAACATACCTGCATCCATGTAGGCGGCAATTTCAATGATTTTTTGGCTGGAATGCAAGTGATTTGAAGCCATGCGCCATATTGTTGCATTAAACAAGTTCTTGGGCTGTTCCATCTGTACGCCTAAATATTGCATTAAAAGGCCGTTTATAAATCGGCAGGACGTGTTTCTCTATATCTTCGTCAATCACTCAAACACCATGTTTAATGGTGTCATCATTTATGGTTTTAGCTTTACGCCATTTGCACCAGCTGTCGGCACCCGCTGGACATTTTTCATGCCTCGGTGATTTATCTGTTGAACAATAATGATCCAGAGTTGCAATTATAACTTCTTTCATTTCATGAACAGGAATCCACACTTCTCATCACCAAGCCATTGTAAATTTTTAGCATTTCTTCCTATATTTTGAAGTTGCATACCCATTCGTTTTTGTATGTGTCCCACATACTCAATTTTTGTAACAGAACAATCGTTGCCATATAGGTTCTTTTTCAAAATACCCGTGAAAGTTTTTGAATTGCCAGCACCAATATTTCATGCCAAATTTTTTGTCAGATCTCAATAATATTTCGATGATTTGAGGAGCATGTTTCTTTGTAATTTTCATACCACTCTTCAAACATGTCATCATCTAATTATTTCTTCTTTAAATTTTTACAAAAAAGTTGACTATTTTGCCTCTGTACTACTCGATGAGAGTTGTTACACCATACAATGAAGTGGAGCCGTGTTTTTTCCTTTGCTTTCCCACACTTCATTGACAGTTTTCTTAGTTACCATTTCAAACATCGATGACGACACCAAGTGAAGGTGCTGCACTCTCTGGTTGTAGGTTGATTTTGTCAACCTTTGAAACGAACATGATTCGTCTATTTCGTATCCAGTGTGTTTATTAATGGCCTGGAATATATTTCTCTGCCACAGCATAATATGTTTTCAGTAGATTTTTAGCTTTTATTATAGAAGTCATTAGCCCAACTTTCATCATTCTATTCGTCAAAAACATCTGATTCTTGATGCCTACACATTGTGAGAGCATCACTGCAAATTATTCGAAAGATGGAAAATCGACCTCCGATCGGGCTGCAAAGACTTGTAAACATAAATTCTATTTTAAGAATTTTGGCACAACTGGAAATTTTGGAAATTAAATTACGGCTTTTAATTTCTGGTGGTGATCTAAGGAAAAAGATCTCTTCTATTTTATTTGAAGAAATGTATCTTTTTCCAGTTATATTATTATTTTTTAACTTACAAGCACTTTAATGAATCTGAAATAACACTAGAACTGCTCGTTTTATAAAATAAGTTTCAGAGCAATAAAACTTTTCTCTAGTAATACTATATATATTTTAAATACAATGTATTAATGAAAAAAAAAAAAATAATAATTCACGTAGATTTAATTTTTTAAATTTATAATTTTTTTTGTGAACTTTTAAAACTTCTACAACTGCATGTTATACTTTTTATATAATAAAAAGAAAAATATTCAAACTATACATTTGTTAAAAAAAAAAAACTATTTATGAGAATTAATTGAAAATTATTGTACCCGCTTTGTTAATAATATATAACTATAGTAATTTTCGTACCCTGCCACTGAATAAGTTAGTGGACGTCAAATAACGGCGTGTTTTAGTTGCAGCTCATGCACAATTGGGAATTGTTGTCAAATCCTATATTGAAAGAAAAGGGTACCTATTAAAAACATATTTCCAAAGCACTCGCCATGAGGCGCATATCTTTTGTTGACAAAAATAAATAGCGTTTTTCCCCCAAAGGGATAAAAACGAATATTTCAGGTCTTGCCTAGGCTTGACCCTATTGGAGATTACACTTTGTCTTACCTCGTATATGCTCCATGCACCCCTCTCACTTCTACGTCTGTGCCTGTCCCATGTCTCAAGAGTCGCCCGACTCCGCCATCCCGCCAACGCCAAGGAGCGTGTCGATCTTCTTCAGTACCTTCGAGGGTAAGTTAGTCGTCAAGAGGGTCCCAGGCCATAGAGGCATCCCTGGTAACGAGAGGGCTGATCAATTAGCTCGTCTTGGGTCCAGGGGACCTGGACAGGGACCTGAACCAATCTTAGGTATCACATGCGGCAGCATTAATGGGGCCCTCAATAAGTGGGCCTATCAAACTTTAGGTCTGGATTGGAGCAGAAATAGAGGATGCAGGCAGGCCCATAGTTTTATACATGGACCTAGCAAATCCAAGACAAGATGGCTGCTGAGCCTCAGTCGAAGAGCCCTAAACCAAATGGTGGGGGTCCTGACAGGCCAGTGCAGGCTAAGGAGGCATTTAAGCTTAATAGGAATTGAGGAGGATCCTCTATGCCCGAAATGTGGCGAAGGGGAGGACACCCCTGTCCACCTTCTGGGACAGTGTGCAGCCTTTGGGAGAATAAGACATAAAGTCTTTGGTGCTGAAGAGCTGCAAGGGGTTGAGGTGAGAGACCTTCCATGGACCAAAATCCTGGCTTTCATTAGGGCATCGGGTAGGTTCGAGGAGGGTCAGAGACAGAGAGTGGTTAGGTGATGGGACGGCGGGGTAGGCAAAAAGGGCCCACTTGTGGCCTAATTGCCAGGCTGAGGCCGCCCCTTTACTACTACTACTATTAGTCGTCAAGAACTTACTGGGTCAAGCCTAGGCAAGACCTGAAATATTCGTTTTTATTCCTTAGGGGGAAAAACGCTATTTATTTCACGGTCTGTGCCGTCGGCTTGACCCTATTGAGAAGTGTTTGGTGTCTGACGACGTGGGAAGCGTACTGTGATTTAAATGTATGGTTTCTTTTTTTTTTAAACACACAATTCCTACAAAAATAAATATATTTATATTTAACCATAATTTGAAAAACAAAATATAACACTAGAAATAAACTAACTTTCTGGTAAGGTCTACACAGAACAATCACATGTAGTAAACTCGGCCATAAAAACCTAATATTAACAACAAGCAAAATAAAACAAAACATTTCTAAACAGGTACAAAAACTTCTTTGGTTAAATCATTTATTTGCGAATTAGTTTGAGGCCGGCAACTTCTTTGTAATAAAATCTAAAGAAATTTTCTTGTCCCTTCCAATTACCCGCTTTGAGAATAGAGTCTAAGGGCATTTCATTCTGGTATCTCGACGAAGCCACCGCTGACTTGATACTACCTGGAGATTATGCAATTCCCGCCGCTATAAATGCTTATAAAAAGCTGGGTAATACCCTGCTTATCTCCTCTTCTTTCTGAGGATAAATATATAAGATTCTTAATCCAGGAAACCGGATCTAGTGATGGATCTTGAGATTTCATAAGTTTCCATCCGGACTGCCTGTAGGTGCTTTTATCCGTTTTGGAACCAAAGCTAGGCCAGAAGGTAATGGAATCTTCCATTATGCTCATATTTTCGCCGTCCAGCCTTAATAATATTAAATCGTGGATTCTTCTACCTGAAGCCAACAATAAAATTAGTGCTACCCGACGAGCTACCTGGAATAGACTGGCTCTATTAATTTGTTCTTTTTTCATCCAGACTACGAGATCATTTATA